ACTGAGTGACTATAAAGGTACATTACAGGTATCTCCGAAAGTATCTGTTGGGTTAGCACGAATCGAGACTAGGATTTGTCACTCCATATGACGGAGAGGTATCTCTGGGCCCACTCGGTAATGCATCATCATAATGAGCTCAAAGTGACCAAGTGGTTGATCACGGGATCATGCATTACGGCATGAGTAAAGTGACTTGCCGGTAACGAGATTGAACGAGGTATTGGGATACCGACGATTGAGTCTCGGGCAAGTAATGTACCGATTGACAAAGGGAATTGTATACAGATTGATTGAATCCTCGACATCGTGGTTCATCCGATGAGATCATCGTGGAGCATGTGGGAGCCAACATGGGTATCCAGATCCCGCTGTTGGTTATTGACCGGAGAGGCGTCTCGGTCATGTCTGCATGTCTCCCGAACCCGTAGGGTCTACACACTTAAGGTTCGGTGACGCTAGGGTTGTAGAGATATTAGTATGCAGTAATCCGAAAGTTGTTCGGAGTCCCGGATGAGATCCCGGACGTCACGAGGAGTTCCAGAATGGTCCGGAGGTAAAGATTTATATATGGTAAGTCAAGTTTTGTCCATCGGGAAGGTTTCGGGGGTTACCGGTATTGTACCGGGACCACCGGAAGGGTCCCGGGGGTCCATCGGGTGGGGCCATCTATCCCGGACGGCCCCATGGGCTGAATTGGGTGGGGAACCAGCCCCTAGTGGGTTGGTGCACCCCTCCTTGGGCCTGCCCTGCGCCTAGGGTTGGGAAACCCTAGGGGTGGGGACGCCCCCCACTTGGCTTGGGGGGGAAGCCACCCTTGGCCGCCGCCCCCTTGGAGATCCATCTCCCTAGGGCCGGCACCCCCCAAGGCCCCTATATAAAGAGGGGGGAGGGAGGGAGGGCAGCCGCACCGCTTGCTCTTGGCGCCTCCCTCTCCCTTCGTAACACCTCTCCTCCCCGCTTGCGCTTGGCGAAGCCCTGCCGGGATCCTGCTGCATCCACCACCACGCCGTCGTGCTGCTGGATCTTCATCAACCTCTCCTTCGCCCTTGCTGGATCAAGAAGGAGGAGACGTCTTCCTAACCGTACGTGTGTTGAACGCGGAGGTGCCGTCCGTTCGGCACTAGGTCATCGGTGATTTGAATCACGTCGAGTACGACTCCATCAACCCTGTTCTCTTGAATGCTTCCGCGCACGATCTACAAGGGTATGTAGATGCACTCCTCTCTCCCTCGTTGCTAGATGACTCCATAGATTGATCTTGGTGATGCGTAGAAAATTTTAAAATTCTGCTACGTTTCCCAATAGGGCCCTCCAAGGGCGTTGCTTGATGTGCTCATGGGTCTAGTAGTGGTAATGGGCATGGAGGCCATGTGAAACTAGGATGGAGGGAGCGATAATGATGGACACTATGAGGATGAGGACGGTCCATATGCTACAGCAACTGAAGCTAACCTGAATAGGAAGCACACTTCAGAAGAGATAGTTCCTGCTAGGAGTACTACTTTGGTTGTGAGTGCCCCCCGCAATGGAACATTGGCTCTAACTCTGCCCGAGTATCCCCCAAATCCCCCTCTGAAGCAAGATCCCAAGAGACCTAAAACTAGCATTAGATATAAGAACAATGACAAAAAGGAAATCAATCAGGAAAGTCTAATGATGCGTGATTGATGGCCTCCCCTGAGGAGCACCACTTGGCACAATGAGTATCATGTTTTGGAACTGTTGCGATGCTGGCAAAGCTGCGATAGTCGAGAGATTCGAGATATCTCGAGGAAATTTGCCCCTCTGTTCTTTTTATTCTCAAAACTCAAATTAACCAAATTCAAGTAGATAATTTAGCTGGTATACTCTAGGTTATGATCATGGTTATGCAGTCGAAAGCTCTAGTAGGAGCCGAGGTGTTGGTGTATTTTGGAATACAGACCGCATGCCATTGATATTCCTCTATTAGTGGCCTGCCCCGCAGGTCGGCGCGCCATTGCTATTTTGCCATATTATCGATGGCGTGCCAGTTTAGCCGCATATCACTACTAAGGAAATTCCATAAGGGGTTTATGCACTAGTGTTATTTGTAAAAAAACAAACAATGTCTTGTCTGTTCCGACTTTCTAGCCATGTGATCTTCAACACGTTGCATGTACTTTGTCAAAGAAAATCATCGGAAGATACTACTCCCTCTGTCCCAAAATAAGCATCTCAACTTTAGTACAAAGTTGTACTTACGTTAAGACACTTATTTGGGACGGTGTAAGTACTTTTTGTAGAGTCAACCAAAGAACATATGCCTTTTGACATCTTTTCCACTTGTTGATGAAATGTTGGAAGGTAATATTCAAGTCGATTAAACCATTCAGTGTTGGAGTATAATGTCTAGCTCTCTCTTGGTTTACACTTATGGAGCAAGTGACTGGAGCATGAAGACAATATGATATCCAAGTCAAGAGATCCGAAGTTCAAGACCTTGCCAACACAGTTTTAAAATAAAAATAAAAAATATGCGCACTATATCATTCCCACATCTAAGAATTAAAATAGACTAGACGTTGGGGGGAGTGCTGAAATATATTGCTCATCCCTTTTCATTAGTTCGTACTGATGGATGAATTGGTTAGCTGCATATAACTTACAACCAAGAGGTTTAGGGTTGGCTGTAGCATAAATTTAATATTCAGTGCCGGAATGCAGAAATAAGAAAGGAGAAAGTTTTTTTGAATTGAAGGGCACGCCCCCGATTTCATTTCATTGAATGAAAGGAAACCGATTAAGCAGAGTCATAAAACAGTTTGTTTCTCGCCCCCCAGACACCCTACCTTGGCCTCTAGGGGGAGAAATGAGTAAAGAAGCACTACCCGGGGCTCCATCCCCTACTCTCATTTTCCAACAATGATAGAGCTTAGAACAACCATACTATCTAGGCAGAAACTGCAAGCTATTCCAACGAAGAAAACTCAAAACATAGAAACAGAAAAACTCTCAACCCACTCCCAGACGTTTTGTCATTGGCGCCCATCCTCTGCTCTTGTTGATCGAAGCCATTCACAACATCAACCAGCAACACCGCCATGTCGCGCAACTTCTGTTGCCCTTCTTTTCTTTGCAAGGCAGTCCAGTACGACATCTAGTAAGCTATTTGGAAAAACATCACACTCGGATCATGTGGGTAAATGTGATGAAAAGTGGCAGTGTTTTTAGTTTTCCATAAAGACGAGAATACTGCCGCTACACCCACTGCTGTTGTTTGTCTCATCTTCTTAGGAAACATCTCTACCCAGTTGTTGAACTCTTCAATTTTGCAAGGAATGTCATAGATACCAGTGACATTCCTAACAACCCCCCATACAAACTTGACTACCACACAAGTGCAAAAGCGACGCTCCATGGTCTCAGAATGATCACAGAAACTGCAACTTTTATCTTTACTTTCCAGTTTCTTTTAGCTAAATTATCTCTAGTTAACACCCCGTTCTTGAAGACCAACCAGATGAAAACTTTAACTTTTAGAGGGATCTTAGCTTTCCACATATTTCTATGAGGCCAAGCAGGTACCTGATTAGTTTTAAGAGCTAAATATAAGGATCTAACAGAGAATTTTCCTGATCTAGTTAACAACCAACCACACTTGTCCTCCTGATCATTCAAGGTTACACTGCTACAGATGCTTTTTAGCTCATACCACATATCAGCAGTGTCCCCCCATAATATCCTTCCAAAATCTAATCAAGCTCATGTTCTCATATAAGGCTTTAGCAACAGTAAAATCAATACTAAAAGTTAGGGCATATAGTCTAGGGAATTGCCCACTTAGGCCTCTTTTGGTTCATAGGATAGGATTATCGTAGGAATAGAAAATTTGTAGGAAATGAGATGGGATGTATGTCAAATCCTATGAGTAGGAATAGGAAAGGAGATGTCATTTGATTGACATCAAAGGAATTTTTCCATTGAGTCTAGGTTCTTTTTTATTTTCCTATGAAATGTGAAGGATAGGAACCAATCCTGTGTAGGAATAGAAATCTATTCTATGAACCAAATGGCTCTAAAGGAAAAATTCCTATAAAAATCCTATCCTACGAAATTTCTATAAAATTCCTACGAACCAAAGGAGGCCTAAGAGATGTCTCCCAGCCAAATATCACCTCAGAACATAGTTCTCTCCCCAGAAAGTTATGAACATGCATTATGACGTGGCCAAATAACACCCTTTACCACGGGTACTGCTTGGCTGGCCACTAACACACGATCTCGTCGGAACTCGCTTAACCACTAACACGCGACGTCGTCTGCTTGCGGAGCCCGTGCCCGTCAGCCGCATAGTCCGGCCGGGTGGGACGGCCTCGAACCTCGATCACCACGTACGTAGCAACCACCGGTTGCCTCAAGCGAGGACGAGTAACGGGCGGCGATCTCCGTAGAGCAAAGCCAATTAGCCAAGGACGCACGTTAATGCCCATGACTTGGCCGGTTGGGCATCCGCCGGAGACGGCCGTGGAAGAAGGCGACGGATGCAAAGTTTTCGACGCTAGCGCGCCTAGACGATGGACTGGACGACATGGACGGTCTTGATGCAAGGACGGGCCTGAGATGCATATGCCGTTCTTCAAAACAAAAGTGACATGCATAGTGTTTATTAGACCTCATCATGGATTATTTTTGACGTGTCAAAGCCATCACCCATCACTCAGCGGTACACAACGAGACAAACAAGCTCGTCCGACTTGGCAAAACCACGTCCACTCGCGCGGGCGGAGCGGCAAAAGCGAAAGCACACAAAAACCTCATCCATACGCGCGATCCGGGCCGCCCAGGGCCCCGATCCGACGGCCGGCCTCCCCCGCGATCCCCACTCTCGGGCCTCATCCTATCCTCGGCCTCTCCGCCCCACTTCACTACTACGTGTGCGTGCTCTGCTCGCGCCTCCTCACAGACCCTCACTCGCTCGCTCACTCCCCGCCGCACGTCCAGCTCGAGCCAGCCGAGGACCTCTCGCCGCGGCAACAATGACGTCCCTCTCCTCGTTCGCGGCCGCGGCGCGCGCCACCTTCCTCCCTTCCTCCTGCCGCGCGCGGCCGGCGGGCGGCAGGAGGTCGCAGCTCCTCGTGACCCGCGCGGCAGCGTCCAGCCCCAAGCTCCCCGGCGGGCGGAAGCTGCGGGTGGCGGTCGTGGGAGGGGGCCCCGCGGGCGGCGCGGCCGCGGAGGCGCTGGCCAAGGGCGGCGTCGAGACGGTGCTCATCGAGCGCAAGATGGACAACTGCAAGCCGTGCGGCGGGGCCATCCCGCTCTGCATGGTGTCCGAGTTCGACCTGCCGCTGGACCTCGTCGACAGGAGGGTCACCAAGATGAAGATGATTTCGCCCTCCAACGTCGCCGTCGACATCGGCCGCACGCTCGCGCCGCACGAGTACATTGGCATGGTCAGGCGCGAGGTGCTCGACGACTTCCTCCGTAACCGCGCGCAGAAGGCCGGCGCCGAGGTCCTCAATGGCCTCTTCCTAAGGTATGCATACCACTTCGGCCGTCAAATGCAAGATTATGAGTACGCTAGGATTAGTTCTGCACTTCTCCTGCCATCGCGCTGGATGTTATCCTGACACTATATCACTGAGCACAAGTGTTTCAGTGTCAGAGTGCACGTAGTAGTAGTAGCATTACATTTGCATGATGAACTTAGCACGAGAGAGACGAGACGCTGTCTGTGTGACTTCATCTTCGTCGACTATTGTATTTGGCCTTGTTGACGTATATGTGTTGCCTAGTCTCTTCCATAAGATCGATTTTTTAGTTGTATTGGCTAGAATATGCACTTCTACATGGTATCGAAGCCAAGAGGTCTTGAGTTCAAGACCTGACTGACGCAATTAAATTGCAGCCCACTTTTGGTCCACGTTTAGGCCTGAGGAGCCACACGTGAGGAGGAGTGTTGACGTATAATGTGTTGCCTAGTCTTTTCCATAAGATCGATTTTTTGGTTGCATTGGCTAGAGCATGCACTTCTACAAGCCTGCATGCATGTGTGTCAGCGGTAACACCGAGAACCATTTCAAATTTGACATGTCAACTGAACAAACTTAAATAGGAGTACGTATAAAAATTTACAGAACTTATATACTAAAATCACAGCCTGGTTGTTCTAATCAAGCTGTGGCTTAGCTCTGTCTGAGATGTAACCAGTGGTTGATCGACTAATCAGTCTGGCTAACTGTTACCGTGGCTCAGGTATGAGGCGCCCAAGGAGCGCAACGGCACGTACACGGTGCACTACAACCACTACGACAGCTCCAACGGCAAGGTGGGCGGCGAGAAGCGCTCGTTCGAGGTGGACGCGATCGTGGGCGCGGACGGCGCCAACTCCCGCGTGGCCAAGGACATGGGCGCGGGCGACTACGAGTACGCCATCGCGTTCCAGGAGCGCGTCAAGATCCCCGACGACAAGATGCGCTACTACGAGGAGCGCGCCGAGATGTACGTCGGCGACGACGTGTCCCCCGACTTCTACGGCTGGGTGTTCCCCAAGTGCGACCACGTCGCCGTCGGCACCGGCACCGTCACCCACAAGGCCGACATCAAGAAGTTCCAGGCCGCCACGCGCCTCCGCGCCAAGGACAAGATCGAGGGCGGCAAGATCATCCGCGTCGAGGCTCACCCCATCCCCGAGCACCCCAGGCCCAAGAGGTGACGAACTTCTCCTCTCCTCTGTATTGCAAGAACGATTGCCCGATCAATTGGGTCTCACTCATCGTGTTCGATCGTCATCAGGGTGTCGGGGCGGGTGACGTTGGTGGGCGACGCGGCGGGGTACGTGACCAAGTGCTCCGGCGAGGGGATCTACTTCGCGGCGAAGAGCGGGCGGATGTGCGCGGAGGCGATCGTGGCCGGGTCGGCGAACGGGACGCGGCTGGTGGACGAGAGCGACCTGCGCAAGTACCTGGCGGAGTTCGACCGGCTCTACTGGCCGACGTACAAAGTGCTGGACATCCTGCAGAAGGTGTTCTACCGCTCCAACGCGGCGCGGGAGGCGTTCGTGGAGATGTGCGCCGACGACTACGTGCAGCGGATGACCTTCGACAGCTACCTCTACAAGCGCGTCGTGCCGGGCAACCCCATCGAGGACATCAAGCTCGCCGTCAACACCATCGGCAGCCTCGTCAGGGCCACCGCGCTGCGCCGGGAGATGGGGAAGCTCACCTTGTGATCGCTCACCCGCCGGAAACGCTCCTGACACCCTGCTTGGGTCGCTCGAAACTGCGGCGGATCGATCGGTATAGCAGAGATCCGCGGCTGATCGAACGGATTTGAGGCGGAGGAGATGAGAATAAGGTAATGGCGTCGATCCAGAGGTCGTGTCTTGGTCGATCCTGTCCGATTTTCTTGTACTTACAACGTACGCATGCACGGTGATGTTCAGACTTCAGAGCAGTTCGTCTGGATTGTTGAAGCGCGCCAATATTCGATATGTGAATGAATGTAGTACTCCCTCCGTTTCAAAATATAGTGCACCCGCGTTTTTTGAGGTATAACTTTGATCATAAATTTAACCAACGAGACCAACTGCGACGGGAGAAAAAGATTATATAATTAAAAACTTCTTCCGAATACAAATTCATTGATATAATTTTTGCTCCCGCCGCAATCGGTCTTGGTAGTTAAATTTACGGTTAAAGTTGAAGTACGGGGATAGAAGAATCACTACATTGTGGAATGAAGGGAATATAAACTAAGGCTTCAACTTTTTGTTCATGTTTGTTCTCACGAACGAGAAATGGAATGAAATGGGTTAGCAACAACCAGGCAGCACGTTGAATTTAGAGATATGTTGTCGGATATCCGGTGAAAACAGTGAAAAGCTCTCAACAGATTCTTAAATAATTATTGGGACCGCCAATTCATCAGTTAACTGAAAATGAAACCTAACCCTCCCGCGCCGCCACCGCGAGGCGACGGGGAGGGGCCTTCGATCTGCGCCGCCGGTCGCCTCCTCCTGCCTCCCACTCCCTCGCCGCCGCCCCCGCGAGGCAACGGGGAGGGGCCTTCGATCTGCGCCGTCGGTCGCCTCCTCTTGCCTCCCACCGGTGCCGGCGCCGACGGGGCGTCTTCTTCCCCTCGCGTGATGGGGTGGCGTGGGCCGGCCTCCTCGGGCTTGGGCATGGCACAGGGCGGCGCGACACGACGGCTCACTGGCGTGGGGTGCCTGCGTGGGTGATGCGGCGATGTGGAGGACTTCGTGGCGGTGGCGACCCGAGGCGGTGGCCTTGGAAGGTGGTGACAGGCGAAGCATAGGCCTCTCACGGTGGCATGGCATGGCGATGTCCTTGTCCAAGGCGGATCTGCGTTGGCGATCTGGTGACTTTGGCTCCGGATTGGACCGAATCAGGACGGTGACAAGCACGCGAGATTCCTCTCGATGGCTCTCATGGTTTGGCGAGGTGGGGTGGCGGCCCTCTCTCCTAGACTCTAGTGGTGGCACACGCAGGGGCAGTGGCCGGTGTGCCAGGGCTCTTACCGTAGCAGTGCTATTGTGGATTGTCGGTGTCAAAACCGGCGGATCTCGGGCAGGGGTCGCAAACTGTGCGTCTAAGGCGGATGGTAACAGAAGGCAGGGGACACAATGTTTTACCCAGGTTCGGACCCTCTTGATGGAGGTAATACCCTACGTCCTGCTTGATTGTTCTTGATGATATGAGTATTACAAGAGTTGATCTACCACGAGATCAAAGAGGCTAAACCCTAGAAGTTAGCCTATGATATGATTGTCTGTTGTCCTACAGACTAAAACCCTCCGGTTTATATAGACACCGGAGGGGGCTAGGATTACATAAGGTCGGTTACAAATGAGGAGATATACATATCCGTATTGCCTAGCTTGCCTTCCACGCCAAGTAGAGTTCCATCCGGATACGAGACGAAGTCTTCAATCTTGTATCTTCATAGTCCAACAGTCCGGCCAAAGGATATAGTCCGGCTGTCCGAAGACCCCCTAATCCAGGACTCCCTCAGTAGCCCCTGAACCAGATTTCAATGACGATGAGTCCGGCGCGCAGTGTTGTCTTCAACATTGCAATGCGGGTTCCTCCTCCGAATACACCATGGAAGAGTTTGAATACAAGGATAGTGTCACCAACCCTGCAAAATAAGTTCCACATACCACCGTAGAGAGAATAATATTTTCACAAATCTAATCTGCTGACACGTTTTGACAGCATGACATTATGTCATGGCTCGGTCATTATTTGAACTGTTTTTCTTAACCAGCACCGCACATAACATGGGGCGGTTTTCTTCGACATGTCTTGTCAAAGCAGAGATCGTGTCCCCCTTATTACGGGATTCTCATCAATACGGACGTGGGTAACCCAAACGCGCCATCAATTACGGCGCCTGGGAAATAAGCGGTTTTACCAGGCAAGTGGGGAGACACATCGCCTCTTCCGCCCTTATAAAGGGACAAGGATTCACTCTTTTCACCCACGCCTTCTTCCTCCTTGCTTACCCATTCCCGCACACTCGAGCTCTAGCGACCAAGCTCGCGTTCCTCTTCTCAAACCACTCCAAACATGTCCGGAGCAAGAGGCAAGTGGATGGTCTCCTCCGTCACGGAAGAGAACATCAAAAAGTTACGGAAAGCCGGATACCTGGCCGCGGATATCGTGCGCCGGCTGCCAAATGCGGGGCAGATCATCCCAACGCCCGAACCCCATGAGAGGGTAGTTTTTCTTACCCATTTTGTCCGTGGACTAGGATTTCCCCTCCACCCGTTTGTCCGCGGGCTCATGTTCTACTATGGGATGGATTTTCATGATATGGCCCCCAATTTCATCCTCAACATCTCGGCGTTTATCGTCGTATGCGAGGCCTTCCTTCGCATCAGGCCCCACTTCGGCTTATGGCTGAAAACCTTCAATGTTAAGCCGAAGGTGGTGGGTGGCTAGCAAGCAGAGTGCGGAGGCGCCATGGTGGGCAAGATGCCTAATGTCACCTAGCTCGAGGGCACCTATGTGGATACCATAAATGGGTGGCAATCGGGGTGGTTCTACATCACCGAGCCGCGCGACTCCAACTGGGTGGCGGTCCCCAAATTTCGATCCGGAATCCCCACGCGGCTCACCTCCTGGAAATAGAAGGGCCTGTCCTGGGGTTCCTTGGTAGAGTTGACCGGACTCCAGACCTGTATCCGGAACATGACGAGCAAGAAAATCAAGCTCGTCAACGTGGTCCAGGTCATGCTCTTCCGCCGGATCCTCCCGTGTCAACGACGGGTATTCGATTTGTGGGAGTTCGACTCGGCCAAGCACCGGACGTTGCAAGAGCTCTATGACACGACGCACGAGGACGTTTGGAGGGTGCTGTTCAAGGGCGTCGAGATTCCTCCTTCCCTCACCGAGGACCGCGGAGTTAGCGCAAAACGCCGCGCTAATCTAGTAAGTTTTTATATCTCTCAGGGTATTTATTTGCCCCGGTTTAGTCATATGCAAGATCTAAGCTTCTATACCATTAATAGGACTGGATAAAGACAACGGAGCAGCTTGATTGCCCAGTCCCCCTGCCCGAAGATCCTCCAGGCGCTCTCCTAACGGAGATGCTGACTCCGACACCTTACAAGGTGCCGGTGAAGAAGACCAAGAAGAAGGCCGCGGGGACCCGAAAGGGTCTCCGGCGCAAGGTTGTATCGGACTCATCGTCCGATGACTCCGACGCGCACTCCTCCCACGAAGACGAGGAGGAGGAAGAGGAAAGTTCTCCCCCCAGCCGGGAGAGACAAGAAAAGGAAGGTCGACCCAACCGGGGAGGCCGAAGGGTCCAAGAAGGGAAGGACCCTCCCTTCGGACTGCGCCACGACAGCCGTCGACTGCGGCGACAAGTGGCTACCCAGGGTCAAGCCCTTGGCAAAATCGTAAGTGTCCGGGCGCCATAGTACTTCATGGTATATTTTATTACACTGCCTCTCCTCATGCCAAACATGATTATGCAGTCCGTTCCGAGCTCGTCTCGACGTATCCTCGTCGAGCGGCTCTCTGGACTCGTCGGATATGAACAACGGTTCTCTCCTGACCGCTACCACCCCTCGCCCTATGGATAACGCCGAGGTGTTGTCTCAAAAGGCACAGAGCCAAGGGGAGGTGGTCCTGGGGGCGCCTCGAGGCGACTTCCCGGACCCTGGGTACCAAGGGAGCGAGGCTCCTACGAGCTCCGAGTTCGGCCCTCAGCCGAACACTGTGCCGGAACCTTTGATGGTTCCGGACTCCGTGTAACACACCGGATGTAACTTTCCCAATTTGTACTCCAACTCTTGCCGTTTCCGGCGTTAAGTTATATTTATTTTCTCGGGTTCGGGTCTTTGTCTCCGTGTGTTGTTATCGTTGTCATGCATATCATATCATGTCATCATGTGCATTGCATTTGCATACGTGTTCGCCTCATGCATTCGAGCATTTTCCTCGTTGTCCGTTTTGCATTCCGGCGCTTCGTTCTCCTCCGGTGGTCATTTCTAGCTTTCTTTCGTGTGTGAAGATTAAATATTTCCGGATTGGACCGAGACTTGCCAAGCGGTCTTGGTTTACTACCGGTAGACCGCCTGTCAAGTTTCGTATCATTTGGACTTCGTTTGATACTCCAACGGTTAACCGAGGGACCGAAAAGGCCTCGTGTGTGTTGCAGCCCAACACCCTTCCAATTTGTCCCAAAACCTACCAAAACCTGCTCCATCATCTAGAGCATTTGATCACAATCACGTGGCCAAAAACCGCACATCATTTGGACTCTCCTAGCTCCCCCTATGCCTATAAATAGGTCCCCCTCGAAAATCTCGGATCCCCCTCCCCGAAACCCTAAAAATTCATCTCTCTCCGCGGCGGACGTGTCCGTCCGCCGCCGGACACGCCGTGCCGCCACCCGCGGCCACTGGCAGAGCGCCACGTGGCGCGCAGCCACCGCCTCCCACCGAAGCCCGCGAGGCCCGGGCCAGGCCCCCGCGGCCCGAAGTCTCTCCGCCGCCGCCTGCCCTCAAGCGCCGCCCGCCGCCTTCACCGGTGCTGCCCCGCCGCCGCGCCGGTCGCCGTCGACCCACCGGC